ATATTTCTGTCAGACAGTGTTGGCCTGTACAATATTTCTAGACAATCTACACACCCAACACATACACTCTCTAAGCAGACATATTGTAAAGTCAATTACTCATTAAAAATAACACGATCAACATTTCAATGCTTAATATAATTTATTTTCATCATTAAAGTCACACATATTAGTCTTTAAAACTCGAAGTGTTGCATACTGCATGATTCCACTGAATAACATTCTTGAGACGACAAGAGCACAGAAATGCATAGTGGATCAGTGGTTGCCAGGGGCTAGGGACGAGGCTGGGGAGGACGAGAGACGTGGCGTCCCCGGGACCCTCGTGGCCACAGCAGCGTCCCGAATCCTGCCTACATCAATGTGGACATCCTGCTGGGGAGAATGTAATGCCACTCTGCAAGGCGTCACCCTTGGGGGAGACTGGACGAAGGGTACCCAGGGTCCCTCTGTATTAATACTTACAGCTGCATGGAGTCTGCAGTGATCTCAAAATAAAAACTCTAATGTTTTTTTTAAAAAGTACAAACGAAATAACAGTTTTCCAAGTAAAAAGCTTTTTTTACAATCAGACAATCGGCATCTACGCAGCCAATGTTTCTCCAACCTTAGCCTTTGGCATGACTTCCTCATCCTTTTTCCATCCCACGTAGTACCTTTTTACTTAAAAAAAAACCCTAAGTAACATTTTAACTCAATGTTTTCTTTAAATCAACTCACAAGACTTTAGATAGGAACATGTAAGTTTGTCCTGAGAATAGTAATTTTTGAGATGCCAGTTACATTGTTTCCAACTCTCCATAAAATATATACGTAACTGGGTTTGTTTTTTTTTTGCACGGGAATGTTTCTATTTGCATGCATTCTAATGTCCTCTGTTCACACTTTCTGCACACACAGGACATGTTGCCCTGCGGGACGCCGCAGACACGTTGACTTCTGTTTGTTCTTCCCCAAAAGCCTGGGATGGAAGGACAGGTTGGGGCTCCCTAAAAGGAAGTGTTAGTCCCGGAAGTGAGGAAGGGTGAGGACAGACACCCTGGAAGAGGAGCGACAAGTCTGAGAAAGACAAGAGGAATGAGGAAGGGTTCGCTGAGATGACACCACCCTGCCAAGAGCGGAGTTCAAACAAGCCAAGCGAGAGTGGCCGCAAAGGAAGGGGGACGTCAGACGTGGTGGCCTGGTGGCTCACACGGCTTGGCTCTTCTCGGCCGAGGTGTCCACGGTGGATCGGGTGAAAGACTTGCTGTCCCTCACCAGGGACTCCTCGGTCAGCACGTTGCGGAGTAGGTTCGGGAGGGATTTGCGCAGGCGGCTTCGGAAGCCCACGCCGGCCACCACGTAGATGACGGGGTTGATGCAGCAGTTGACATAGGCAAGAGAGATACACAAGGCGTCCACCTTTATCACTTGGCTGAAGACGGACGAGGACGAGGGGAGCAAAGCCATCATCATCCCTGTCACCTGGTAGGGCAGCCAGAAAATGAAGAAGCTGGCCACCACCGCCACCACCACCTTGACCGTCTTGGTGGACCGCGTGGCCCTGCGGCTCCATGTGCGGAGCAGGAGGAAGGTGTAACAGAGGGTGAGGGTGAGCAGCGGCCACAGGAAGCCCACGACCAGCCGGACGCTGGCCACGACGCGCTCCTTGCGCCCGCCGTCTCTGCCGTAGTCGACGCCACACAGCGTCTTGGGCGGAAAGTGCTCCTCGCGCAGCGCGCGGTACAGGAAGGACGGGATGGTCAGCAGCACGGCCAGGCCCCAGGCCACGCCGCAGGCCGCCCAGGCCAAGCGGGCCCCTCGGAACTTCTGGCACCAGATGGGGTTAAACACCAGCACCAAGCGGTCGGCGCTGATGGTGGCCAGGAGCAGGATGCTGGCGTACATGTTGAGCAGGATGAGCGAGGGCAGGACGCGGCAGGCAGCCGCCCCGAAGGACCAGTGGTTGTGCTGGATGATGGACGTGAACAAGATGGGCAGCGCCAGGCAGGAGAGGAGGTCGGCCAACGCCAGGTTGAGGAACCAGATGGCATTGACGGCCCGCCTGGCCTCGAATGCCGTCACCCAGACCACCAGGGCATTGCCCGGCACTCCCACCAGGAAGACGATCGCGAAGATGAGCAAGGCCAAGATGTTCAAAGGGTGCAGGGTCTCGGAATGGTTATCCACAGAGATGTTCGGATCCAAGCTAATGTTGTAATCATAGTTGTAATCGGAAACGGTGCTGTTCTCCATGGGGTCCTAAGTAGAATCAGAGAGGCCGGGAGAGGATGAGTCTGCAGACA